ATAGGAGTATATTACTATACAATGTTATTAGATGCAATAATAGTCAAAAGCAAATTCTATACATAATTATTTTTTCCAAATATATCAGACCCACCATTTTGGTGATAATTTTGTGTTGTTGTATAACTATTATAATTCAATAAATAAGGCCACATGAATAGCAAAAATAGGAATAATGTATGTACAACCATCTGCACAGTTGTCAAATTATCCTGTATCCCTTGTGATGAAGTGACTGTTTAAACTCAGGTTGAACTTGTATCCTTTTACTGATGAGTTGTTATTATTCATGCTTATCATCAATATGGCTGTGCTGTATTAGGAAACTATCACAAGTATCATTTTAAAATCTAACAGCACTCTTGTTAAGTTCGCAATTTAAATGTCCTCTTGCTGTAGCTCTGGAGACGTGCCATGAGGAGAGAATCTCTGAACTGGCCACGTTTTCTGGGGATCTGAGATGGAGACTATAAATTAAATGTAGTTTTTAGACTGATAGTGAAAGTTTGAGCTATTGACACATTCTGACATGAAATCGCACTACCTTTACAACGATACTCACGAGGAATCAGACGCTGTCTTCGTTGTTGTAACACCGTCTTTTGGCTAGTCCGTGTGGAAGACAAATTTTCGATAGGCTCCAAGACAGAGCCACTCTGCAAACTGTTGCTCCATTGCAAACCACGCAGGCAGCTGGGTCTGCTTTTCCCCACACTAACCTGCTTCTGCAAGCCCTGGTCGTGTTGCCTTTTGAGTTGCACGAAAACCCAGCTCAGGAAATTAAAGTTCCATCTTTGCTAGCTTATTGCTCAAAAAATTACATATAGAGAGCTTTTAAAAGAAGCTTTCTTTGAAGGTAAATGGCCCTTTTAGTAGAAAATCAGCTCATGACAAGCGGAGTGACGGAAGTCAAAGGCATTCTCACTGCTGCCTGAGGTTCTTGTGTGCCTTGAGTTGATTCTGACAGAGTAGAGCTGTCCCCCCACCCCCACCCCGTGACTCTGTCCCAGAGTACAGCGCCCCTCAGGATTTTCCTCAGCTATAATCTTCAACAGGGCAGTTCACCAGGTCTTATCTCCTGAGCAGTGGCTGTGGGATTCGAACTGTGGACCTTTCTGTTAGCAGCTGTTTAACCATTGCTGCCACCAGGGATCCTCATTGCTGTCTAGTTGCTATTTATTTGCAAGCTATAATTGAAGCTTCATCTCCTAGTGAGCAGATTAATACTAAAAAGGGTGTTAGGGTGCTAGTCACAGCCATGACATGCATTTTCTCAAACCTTCATTTACACATTGACACTTCTGTCTGACTCACACCAAAATATCTAAAATTATACATCCCGACTCAATGGCACGAACGTGAATCCAAACCTTGAACATTTAAAAGTGTATTTATACCAGGAAGGAAGAGCAAAGTGAAGATCTCTCTCAAGAGGTTTCTGCTTGAAAATATACTTGTATCTAAAATGGATGTGGGCTGTCTTTAGGGCACGAACCCACAAAAGCCTGTGCAATACTGTGTGAAAGACGTCGGTGAGAAACAAAATCAAATCTGCATGTGTGCATGAAGCACTGAGCCGAGGGAGGCTGGTTTCTGCCGGCTCCTGGTGAGAGGGTTAGGAGGAAAACCGTGATTAAAACGGTGCCTCAGTGATCAAAAATTATCCACCAAACTTCTCAGTTTGTAATTTCTTAACAATGCCTCTGGAAAGAGATGCTGAAAGTGAATATACTGTACAGCTTTACTGACTGTCCTTTCTTTACCAGGCATTAAAAAAAATGCAATACATACATACATCTCATCTCCAACTGACCAAAATTAAAAAGATAAGCTTTAAAATGATGAAATATTATCAGAGAAAATCTGAACAGTAAAATTTTAGATTGTCAGAAAACTATGTTTTCTCTTAAATACTGTTGATCCTATAGGGCAATGAGATGAGAATGGACAAGCCCAGTGATCTTGGGGTCATACATTTCCAAATATGTGACAGTGTTATTTTGATCAGAGAACACCAATCCCTGCTCCGTCTCTCTCCCCAGCTCTAAGGAATAAGGAGGAAAGAAGATACTTATTTAAATGAATGCAATTATGAGAAAGGGGCAGAGGAAGTTGAGGAGAGAAAATCCCATTGTTGTAAGAGTTGGTGTAAGATTCAGAAAAAAAAAAAAAGTTCATAAATAAGGGTTCCTTGGGTGGGGCAGGGGTGGATAAAGGAGGTCAAGAAGAAAGAAAATGGTTTCCAGTTGACTGTGGTAGCTACTGTACCCTACTTCTTGATGTGGTTGAACTATGGAACGCTGGAACTCCCAATAAAATGAGCTTTTAAAAAGAAAGCTATGTCACATTTAGATTACAGACATGTCATTACTATCAAAACAATATTAGGGGGATATCCCTTATTTACTCAAGCTACTCTTGACAAAGGAGCTTAGTGATAGAGACAGTTTCCAGGTTCCAAATATAAAATAATTGTGTCTTTCATATTTTATATATAAACCTTCAAAATGCAATTGGTCTGCCCGGCCAACCTAGTCCAACCTAGGCACAATCCACTGCTGTGAGGAGCTTCCCACAGACTTCCCACTTCGCCTTGTCTCCAGCAGTTCTCAGCCTTGGCCGCTCATTAGAATCACATGTGGGAGCGGGAAACGGGGCATGCTTTTAAATCCTGATGCCTGGGTCAATTAAATCATAATCTCTGAGATTAGACCTAGACATCGCTATTTTCCACAGCTCCTGGGTGATTCTAGTGAGCAGCCAAGGCCAGGTTCCGTTACTCACTCTAAGTTGACCCCCAATATGGAAACGTCCCTTTGGTATAAGAAAATGGGGTTTTGACTGGTCTAGACCAGGCATCCTCAAACTACGGCCCACGGGCCACATGCGGCCCACCGAGGACATTTATCCAGCCCGCCAGGTGTTTTTGCCCCATTTGTTTTTTTACTTCAAAATAAGATATGTGCAGTGTGCATAGGAATTTGTTCATAGTTTTTTTTTTTAAACTACAGTCCGGCCCTCCAACGGTCTGAGGGGCAGTGAACTGGCCCCCTGTTTAAAAAGTTTGAGGACTGCTGGTCTAGACCTTCAAGGGTCTATTGTGATCAGCAGGACAATGGTGGTTACTCTACGCCAGTCCGTTTAGCGGCATCAGACTCCCCTGTAGGGCTTGTCTAAGCACCCATAATTGGAGTCTGCCCACGGGTTTCTGATTCAGTGGGCCTGGGCTGAGCCCACAGATCTGCATTTCTAGCCATCGCCATGGTGATATGGATGCTCCAAGAACCACTGGGTCAGAACCACAGCACTCAGCTCTCATCACGAAAGGCTGAGATGTCCTGTCTGGACTCGAGCACAGCAGATCCAACAACAAGCGACCTTCAGACGGGATTTGAAGAGTGAGTTTGGCTCACCATAGAGAAAGGGCCAACGAGGTGGCTTTCTGGACTTACGTAGTAGCTAGGAACAGAGCAAAGATTAATGGCTGTGTGAGTCTGTCAAGGAAAATGGCCTGTGCTCTTTAAGATGCACTCTCCTCTCAGCTCCCTCGATATTTAATTTTGTCCAGCCTCTGAAAGCTATGAAAGTGGGCCAGGCATACGAGAGGCCCCAATTAGGGCTCATTTTTAAACATGCAGCTCTGTACATGCCAAAAAAAATCAAATGTAATTAACGAAATTGTTCCAACTGAAGGTGGCCTTAGCCAACTGCATCAGCAATTCATTTATATCTCCGAAAAGGCAGCTTGCTTGGCCTCTGACCATTTGCACCATCATATTGATCCCTAATTGAAGCACCGCCATTAAGAGAAGGGGAAAAAGGATCCCTGTCTTGTTTTTGATGCCACATGTTCTAGAGTTTCCCCAGAGAGCTGTCCACTACTCATCATGATAGAGAAACTCCTGAGTCTGCTTAGTCCACTCTGTAAATCATCCAGGCACACACAACCTGAGCGGACATCTTTACTCAGCTTAACTGCAAACGTCATGTGACACAGCCAGTCTCCCTGCTAGCCCTGCTGAGTACCTACACTCACCGCCCTACTTTCTGAGACAGCCTACCTGCAAAGGCTGAACTTGCTTTGAAAGGGGAGAGGGAGGGGTGAACTCCCACTGATTTTTCTTTTCTTTTTTTAAAGGAATAAAGTGCAGTCGTACTTTAGAGCCCCTTAAAAATTAAAAATTCCACTGAAACCAATTATTCATTGTAATTCTTTAGACAGAGAGGGAAGTCGCTCCAGACTCGTGAGGCCATCTGATTGTGCTCCTCAAAACCACTTGCTTTGCCTGAGCAGCAGATGCCACACTGCAGGGCTTGTGGCCACCTGGGAAGGGCTCTCCAGTGGTGTGGCTGGTGTGGATTGTGGGTAAGTCGGTTCCCACTAGCAGAAGGCTCAGGTTTGCAGTGCAGAGCTGCTCCACTGGGTTTTTGGAAGCAGGTCCCCATGTCTGCCTTCCAAGGTGCCGCTCAGGGTCCGGAGGTCTGCCCCTGAAGGGCCTGAACCCTAGGGAGTTAAAATTTTCTGAATGATTCATGACTAGTTGGCGATTAAAATGCCTTTTGAAATACAATCGAAGCTGAGTGTAGTGGAGACAAATCTGTATTTAAAAGTTGACAAACTCATCGTCTGTGAGTCCATTGTGAGGCACAGGGACCTGTGGACAGAGCAGAACTGCCCGCTGGCAGTGTCTGAGGCTGTCCGCCTTTACAGGAGCAGCCTGGGGGCTCAAACGGCTGCCTTTCAGATTAGTGGCCCGATGCCTAACCCACGACGCCACCTGTACTTAAAGTCAAGGGACCTTCATTCTACTATGTGGTCTAGTGTTGTGGAAGAGTAGGGTCCAATGCTAATTCTAACGTTCTAATGTTCACCATCACCATAGTAAAAGTGAACGATGCGTCTTCTCTTGATCCCGCGGGTGATTCTGAGCCTAGTAAGAGATGAGACGTGGAGGAGACATCTGACAATAAGAAGGTTCCACATGGGCAAAAGCACTTACCTTTGGGTCCCCGGAGACCAAGAGCACCTGGGGGCCCCTTAATGCCTGGGAGGCCACGAAGTCCCATCTGGCCTGGGAAACCATTCTCTCCTGGGGGTCCAGGGGCTCCTGGGGGTCCAGGCCTCCCAGGGAGGCCAGAGGCACCTGAGTCTGGACGTTTGAGACTAGCAGCCATCTCAGCCAGATGCTCTAAAAAGATAATAATCAACAGGCAAGCCAGACCCATGAGAGAGCTGCCAGCGAAAAGACAAGTACTTCAAGTGTCTGTTTTCAGTGTGTCAGCAGAGCTTTAGAAGTGGTGGTGAAATATGAACAAGTTGGAGAACGTCCCGGTGGGCTTTCTACCAGGAGGCTCACTGGCGCTACTTTGTTCAGCAATCCTGGATCTGTTTGGTTCTGCTGTTTTGAGACAGAGAGAGGGGGAGCTTCCGTTGTAGGGCTCTGGGGTGAAATTGGTTTTGAAAGGAAGGATGTATCTCTTGAATCCTGGCTGGTTATCCGAAAAACCCAGGATGGGAAGATAAAATGGGTTTCTTACAGAGGTAGAAGTGGCTGCCCAGAGCTTTCTAAACGCTAAGGAACATTGTCCAGAATTAGTATTAAAATGCCATTTGAGACCTGTCCTCATATTTTCAGTGTGCAGATATTAAAAAACCCAAAATAGCCTGAGAATTCGTGGCTTCTTCTAAATTCTGCCTTTCAAAGGTTGATTTCATGTTTGGAATAGACAACAGAGCTTAAAAATAGCCTGTTTCCTGGGACTTGTCACAGTCTGCCGAAGAATTAATAACTGGCCGGGCTTTTTCGGGAACCTTCAAATAGATTCGGAGGGGTCCAGTGAAACCCTGGCGAACCGGACATTTTTCCCAATACAATCTCCCGGGGAAATGTTCTCATACACATCGATTATCCTGAAGCCATGGGGTATGAAGTAGAATACGAACTCAAGACAAATTTCTAACCAACATTTTCAAAATCCACAAGTATGAATCTCCTAAATCTGCTTATTTAAGAGTTAGTGAAGGTTCCAATTGTCTACACATGTAACGTTTTGAACTAAGCTATTTTTTTAAGATAAAATGTCTGCAAATAGGTCCGTGTTGGTTTTCAAATATAGAGATGGCAGTCTAGAGCTATCCCTGAAAAAATGCTGCGAGCCTACTAGGTATGCCAGGCTGTCAAGGGGACAGTATTTCTTATGACCAACTGGTTAGAACCCAATAAGAGGATCGTTTGTTAAAAGGCCTCAAAGTGCCAGAATCTCATCAGCTCTTAGGCATTTGTGCACATCTGCATTTTCTGTGCTGTTTCAGAGCCTGGCCAACGCCACGCATACATGATGAGGAAGAGTGACCATAGGTACACACACACTTGGATAAAGGTTCACGGATGTGAGGGTATGTCACCATCTGGGGATAAGGATGGGGACTGATGCTCTGTCTATGTCGTACAGGAATGGAGCTAGTGTCCTTACGCTTCTCCCAGGCAGGGGTCTCGTTGGCTTGCCAGGTTACCTACAGAGAACCTAGGGAAGTGGAAGGTACAATCGAAGCAGTTGGGTCTTAAGGAGGGAAAGACATCTGAGAATCTGTGTTCTAAACATCTTACCTACCTTACATGGAAAAGGAGGTAAAATTAGTTTCAAAAATGTATGTGTACACTTTCTTATACATTAACTGCCTTGTCTCAACAAAACACCCAGGCTAACCTAGAGAAGTAATTATTTTTAGACAAGGAGATATTCTGTATCGCAACACACTGGACAAAATAAGCAGCATTCATTTTATGCAAACCCTCCCACCTTGAAAATATACAAGTCAACCCTTGGGATTTATTTACCTTGCATGACTCTCATGCAAACCTGCTTAATGTGCTGATCTGTCGGTGCTCGACCCTGGGATAGAAAAGGGAGAAGGTGGTTGATGCATGCACCATCAAGAGGTCTCTGTTAAATTCTAAGCGGACTGCTGCTGCAAGGAAGCAGGTGGTTGGATTTACAAGGGCCCTTGCCCACGCTGCTGGGGACTGATGTCTAGACTAGCCCGGCCACCCCCCTTTCCTGTACAGTGACATTGAGCCTCCAAAGAGAAGCTATGCACTTCCCGCCACTCACCGAAGGGCCTTGGATGCCAGGCAGGCCAGTGACACCCTGCTCCCCCTGCACACCTCGTGGGCCAGGTGGTCCTCTGGGTCCTTCCACTCCAGGAAGCCCCCGAATGCCTTCAGGCCCTCTCAGCCCAGGCTCTCCGGGGTTTCCCACCTGGAACAATATGGCCAGCTATCAAACCAGGGCTAACTACAGTCTGTCTGCTTGATAGAAATAAAAACTCACTACCACGGAGTCTGCTCCGATGCATCAGACCTGAATGCTGACAGAGACAGGTATGTGACCTTCCAACTCAGGTTCTCCTGCTTTCTACTCTCTCCCGAGAGGTGTTCCCTCAATGGTTACAGCTCCACAGAGCTCCACACCTGAAAACCCCAACCCTCTCGCATGCAGTCAGTTCGGAGTCACAGCCACCCTCGAAAAGGTTTTCCAAGGTTGTGAATATTCAGAGCAGCTGATGGGCAGGAACCACCGGCCTTCTGGTTAGCAGGCCAAGGCTTACCTGCCAGCACCACCAGGACCCTGAGAAGTGGGCCCCCATTGTCACACAATTCCCAAGCCAAAACACCAAACTCACTGCCATCTAGCCCTCCCAGCTCAGAGCCAGCCGATCGGACAGGGTAGAGCTGCCCCTCGGGGCTTCCCAGACTGTGAACTCTTAACGGGCGTAGAAAGCCTCATCCTTCTCCTGCGGCTGGTGGTTTTGAACTGCAGACTTTGAGATTAGCAGCCAAACTTGTCACCACTACACCCCCAACGCTCCTTGTGAATTCCAGTTCGAATTACAAATTGCAGGGCTTCTAGAATTCTAGTCCAAATAAGATTTTTTTAATCTTTTGGGGAAGCTATAAGTATTCCAAACATCACTGGGAATAATATATTTTCAATACTACATTCTTCGCATCTCAAACAACTAGCTCCCAAGAGCCAGTTCATTTTTAATAAGACTTGTTAGCTTTTCCTGTCCACAAAAAGGATCATTGTGTGCACATGAGTCATATGGCTTTGCATAGCACCAGCAAAGTATTTTTACAAAGAAGATATTCTCAAGAAAATAAGCTATTTGGCCTGTCTAACATTCTTTAGCGAATGTGAGGATAGCAAATATATCCACATATTGCAAAATGAGCATAAAATAAACCAGTGCCATTAAAATAGTAAATAAAAAGTCTTTCTAATTCATTTACATATTAAGTTAAAAATCTAAATATTAACGACCTAAAAAATAAATACCCAGTTTTCTTAGCACAAAAGTAAATAAAATTTAGATTTTTTTCGGGGAGAGGGAGTAAAAGCAGACCACTAAAAGCATTTCAGAGAATTCTCATCTACAATAACTCTTTTTTAAAAGACTAAATTAATTCACTCTTTGTTAAACTGCCTCGGGTGGCATCTGTGGCAGAATGTACTGTTGTTTCTAGAATAAGAATGAGAAGATAAGACGACAGGGCTAGCAAGGGACTGCCAGTGCTCGGGATAGGAATGTTCACAGGCAATTCAATCCTTTTTTTGCATGCAACAGTTGTCTAGAAGGAGCTAACTCTCCCAAACATTCAAATGTTTTAAACTGAAAAAGGGGGAGGTGATGAAGGAATGCTTTCCCCAGACACAATTAAATAAAGCTCCAAGTCGTGCTTATTTTTCTAATCTCTGTTTATGAAAGAAAAATATTGCCAAACTTGCAGCTATGGAGAAACAATGGCCAGAGGGACTCCGTGAAAGGCACCATTACCAGAGAGAGCTAAGGCCCTGCTCTGAAAAGCCACAGAAAACCAAGAGTTCAAAACTATAACAACTTCTAAAGCAGCCTAGAGAGGAAGCCAATCTGAAGTCAGAGATGCACTCAAAAACTGGCAGAAAAGAGGGAATACCAAATCAGACTAGATGGTACTGCAGGCAATGGCTGAACTATTGCGAGAACCAGGGAGGGGAAATTTTTGATGAAGGGGTCACAGGCCAACATGACCAGGACACGATAAGGGCCTTGCATCACTGGGGAAGAGTTCTAATTGAGGAATGGGACACCAGAGTATCAAACAAGGTACCGACAGCTCTTGCTTATCAAGCTTGTTTACGCCATAATCAAGGAAGAAAGTACAATCTTAGTTAGTAGACTAGCTAGAACAAAGGGGGCCAGAGCACAGCAATACTTCAGAGGGCAGCTCGAGAAGACAAAGGATGGTATTGTAATGAAATGTGCAAAGATCTGCAGTTAGAAAACCAAACAATGAAAATGTGCTCTGCGTTTTTTCAAGCAGAAAGAACTGGAGAAAAACTTAAGCCTCGAGTTGCAAGACTAAAGGATTCCATGGACAAAAGAGTAAACAATGCAGGAAACATCCAAAGAAAATGGATGGTGTGCAGAGATCATTGTGCCAAAAAGAATTAGTCGATGTTCACCCATTTGGGCACATGATTAAGAGTCAATAGTATTAAAGGAAGAAGTCCAAGCTGCCTTGAAAGCAAAGGTGAAAAAGAAGCATCCAGAAATGGGTAGAATGCCAACTGAAATGTTTTAACAAGTGGATGCCGTGCCAGAGGTGGTCACTCATCTTTGGCAAGAAAGAGTCCTCCTTCGGAAGGCAGATGCCTGGCTAACTGACTGGAAGAGATACATATTCATGCCCGTCCTAGGAAAGATGGTCCAATACAATGCAGAAATTAGGAAGCAATATCATTAATATCAAACCCAAGGAACACCTTGCTAAAAATAACTCAGTAAGAATTCCAGCATTACATAGACTATGCAAAGGCATTCAACTGTATCGATCGTAACAAATTATAGATAAAAACCCAAGGAAAACAAAGGGAATTCCTGGATGCATATTTGCACTCGTGAGGAACCTGTACATAGACAAAGAGGCATTCTTTCAAGAGAAGGAGGTGATACTGTGTGGTTGAGACCCAGTCAAGGTGTACTCTGAAGTTGTCTCCTTTCATCGTACTTAGTCAACCGGGACGCTGAGCAAATGATCTGATAAACTCGACAGTCAAGAAGAATGCAGCATCAGGATTGGAGGAAGACCTCACAACTGTGCTACCCAAAAGCTGTAACCTTGCTGGCTTGGCTGCAAGTCAAGAGAATTTGAGGAGTTACTGATGAATAAACAGTCTAGTCTTATAAATGGATACTATTTCAATATATTTTTTAATCATCACAGTTGGACCCATAAGCAACATCACCCTAAATGGAGAAAGGATTAGAGTTGTCAAGGATTTCTCCTGAAGAAGGAGATCACGTGGTAGAGTCAAAGGAGTGCAAGATAGGAAAACCCTCGGTGAGATGGAATGACACAGTGGCTACAATAATGAACCTAAACGTGTGGACAATGGTGGGCGTGGAACAGACCAGGCAGTGGCCATGCCGCCGTACAGAGTTGGAACCTAAAAACAACGGTACACTACTTCTCTTATTAGGTATGCATTCCTTTCAAATAAGCAAATCGTTCCAGCTCTACTACTAATTAATTCTATAATTCTGAATAAATCTAATCTCTAAGGATAGCCATCTAGTTTCTTTAATATGATGAACTAAATAAGAGAATAATTTTCCAAGTCAAATAATTCTGTTTTATTTTCTGATGCATTCTTCCTCTGTCTTTGTCAACTGACAAAATGTAGTTCCTAAAAACAATATTCCACAGCCTAAATTGGTGAGTAGTGACTGAGTTCTTAAAAATCTCATGAGCAGCGTCTCAGATACAACTATTGATCTCTCCCATCTGGAGGAAAAAAGGGTGATGAAAATCGAAAGACATGGAAACAGTGAGCCCAATGCAAACACCAGTCTCCTCAACCTTGATGGAGCCTGGTTGCCCCAACCAACGGCTCTAAAAAGGATCGCATGAGAAGGTCCTGTATGTTGACGTTGTTAGATGCCATCAAGGTGGTTCTAACCTATAGGACTCCTATGCACAACACTGAATAAAACACTGCGCCGTCCTGTTCCTATGCTTGATCCCACTGGGCAGCCACTATGCCAACCCATCTCTTTGAGAGCCTTCCTCTTTTTCACTGCCCCTCGACTTTACCAAGTCTGCTGTCCTTTTCCGGGGACTAGGCTCCCTTGACAACATGTCCAAAGTATGTAGGGTGCAATCTCACCATCCTTGCCTCTAAGGGACACTCTGGCCAAACTTCTTCCAAGACATATTTGTTTGTCCTTTGGGCAGTCTGTGTTATTTTCAATATTTCTCTCTAGAACAATGATTCAAATGCAATGATTCTCCTTCAGTCTTCCTTATTCAATGTCCAACTTTTACATGCACATAAAGGCAATGCAAAATACCATGGTTTGGGCCGGGTGCACCTCAGTCCTCAAGTAACCTCCTTGCTTTTCAATACTCTAAAGAAGTCAGGTTCAACAATTTACCTATGACAATGCATCATTTGATGCCTTGACTGCTGCTTCCATCAGCATTGATTGTGGACCAAAGCAAGACAAAATCCTTGACAATTTCAATATTTTCTCCAGTTACCATGATGTTACCTACTGGTTCAGTTGTGAGGATTTGGATCATCTTTATATTGAGTTGTGATTCATACTGAAGGCTGCAACCCTTGATCTGCATCATTACGTGCTTCAAGTTCGCCTCACTTTCAGCACGCAGGCTTGTGTCATCTACATGTGCTGCAGTTTGTTAGTAAACCTTCCTCCATACTTGATGCTGCATATAATCTTCTTCATATAATCCAGCTTCTCCGATTTTTTACTCAGCATACAAATTGAATGAATATGGTCAGAGGATACAACTCTGATGCACACTGTTACTAATTTTTAAACCATGCAGTGTTCCCTTGCTCTGTTAACACAACTGCCTATTGATCCATGTACAAGTTCCTCTATCTGCTATAAGTTGTACTATCACCTAAGAGTTATTCCTTCGGAACAAAGTTGTTCTCATTCAATCTTGTCCTGGCATCCTGGCTAGAACAAAAAGCCAAGGGGGGCAGATAATGAACAAGCTTACTGCCATCAAGTCCATGCCAAGCCATAGCGACCCTGTAGCTCAGGGCAGGCCGGCCTCGGCGAGTTTCCAAGAGTGCAACTCATTCCGGGAGTCAGAAGGCCGTCCTTCTCCGGAGGAGCGGCTGGTGGTAGTGAGCTGCGGTTAGGAGCCCCACGTGTAACACCAGGGCTCCTGCTTAGAGAGGGCACAGGGGCTACTTGTGGGGAAAGAACAGGAGGACACGATTTAGGGGAAGTCAGCACAATGGGACTGAAGTAGAGGAAGACACTCAGAGGTGCTCAAGAATAACAGGCGATGAAGGTAAATGCTGTAACATAAACAATCCTACAATAGCAATAACAAACAATCATTTGTGAGTAACCACATAGGTAAATATGAAGACTAAGTAGGTAAGGGGGCTCAACTGGAGACTCGCGTACATATATAGGAGTGGTTGAGAATATGTCTACGTACATATTTATAAATGCTATATGCACACTTAGCAAAGGCACAATAAAATGTACAATCAAATTAAAATGACTTATTTAGAGAAGAAACTAGAGTCTGCTGTGTACCACTCACTGGGCCATTCAGGATGAATCCATTGCCTAAGAATACACTTAGAAATCTACTGCCTTGAAATAAAGTTCTCTCTGAACTGAAGCTTATAGAATAATTTCATAAATCATAGCATTGTTTTCTACAGCTTGATCTGTTTTACATATCTCTACCTCTATAGCTACCATTCTGTTCATGATACTTACCGATCCCTTTGAGCCAGGTAATCCGATCTCTCCCTAAGATAATAAAACAACATTAAATTATAACAATGTAGTCACCTTTAGTAGAGTTTCCTTAAAAAAGCATTCAACGGGCTTTTGCTGCTGAAATCTATAGTAAATCATGAACAAGATTAATTTTCAATTCAACTTTCAGATTCTAGTCCCAGTTCTACTTAAATCTCGGAGCGAGCTCTTCAACCCCCAGCCTGTGGCTTGGGGACCTGTCAAGTGACAGAGCTGAATCAGAACTCCCACAGGCTTCATCCAGACTAAAACTGCGAACCACGGAGAATCCAAATAAAATGTGTAAGTCAAAAGATATTAAAACAGTATTCTGTTATCCAACAGAATAAACAGTTTAAGCTTACTTTCTTCACGTTTGAATCCCAAACAATATTTTTAAATTCATCTAAATATCCATCAAATCAAATATGTATGTTTTTATGCTCAATAGAAAAGAAACTGCTTTAAAAATTTTTCACCACTAATTCTAGATAGGAATTCAGCTGTGGGTTCAGTCCATCAGTTAATCTTTACTATGAAGCATAATGATCTAAGACATTATGAGCAACTTCAACAGGAAGTAAAATAGAAATCGAAATCATCCTCTTTGAAGTTTACTGAATAGGTGGTAAGCTTTACCTAATTCAAATGTTGCATTTCTTCTAGTAGCTCTAAATCCTGGAGAGCTGAATAAAATGGCATTTCCAGATTGGGATTTTACTTCTCTACCCTAAAACCTTGTTAAAGCTCACTTTGTGAAAACTCTCCTGTCCCCCTTGTAAAGGACCAAAGCATACATGTCTATCTTAGGTCATGTGACATCGAGGGAAAGCCGCAGGGAGGAGCCAGCAGCCCCCCCCCCCCCCCCACCCCTGTGCAGCTCCAGCAGGAGGGAGCTCTTGTTCTGGTTCTTACTGCCTTCCGGAGAATTTAGCAGGGTTTCCCCTGGAGATGGACTTCACTTCTTGGGAGGCTTTCGCCTAGAAAGAAGGTGCTTCGCCAGGTTTGTGACTGACTGCTTTCTAACTCTAATAAAACTTCGATTTTGCTTCCTACATTGCAATTATTCAGATAGTTCCTGTAGTCCTCTAAGAATCACCTTGAAGTTCAGTGTGGGTGTTCCTTTATTGACAGAGAATGCACCGGGTATAAGGGAACTTCCTTCCCACTCTTGTCCAAAAAAAGCTTAAGGCCAGGTCCCTAAGTACATTCCAAACATGGGATGTTTCCTCTCTCTTTTAATCAGCTGCAATCTTGGGGAGTCCTTTGTTGCTTGGCTGCAATCTTGGGGAGTCTTGTGTTACTTACACAACATTGTAGACTACTCAGGAGGCAATGAGGATAACATGTAGGGGCAGATATAAGAGGAAAATATGTTTCTAATACAGTTCAAAATTAACAAGGCCCCATCACGCCCAATCCCAAGCCGGAAAATAAAACAACTTACAAGTTCACCCCTTCCTCCTGCTTCGCCTTCTTCACCAGAGGCACCCTAAAGTTTTAGATAAAGGTGTCATTTTTTAAAATTCTTAGTCCCTTGAGTTATTTTAATCAGGCAACATTGATGCACATACATAAGTGTGCCTAGGATAGCCCAGAATACAAAATGCTCTCAGAAGTGTGGCAGTCTAGCCGTCAGTGGCTAGTCAACATCAAAAAGTAGCCCAAAGAGAAGCCAGAGGTAAGGCTAGGCTTCAGCTAGAATTGAGCATTCACGTCCAGCCATTTTATAAAATGTATAATCCTTAAATAAAAACAAAAACCAAACTCGCTGTCATCGAGCCCATTCTGACTCAGATCAACCCGATAGGACAGGGTAGAAGTGCCCTGTGGGTTGAGGAGATTGTGACTCTTCACAGGAGTAGAAAGCCTCTTCTTTCTCCTGAGGAGCAGCTGGGGGTTTCAAACTACCGACCCGCGGTTAGCAGCCCAACTCTTGAAGAAGGTGTCTTAAATTGGAAAAGCATCCCATGAAAAGGGGTTGAGTCGAATCCTGCCTGCACCATTTACTTGCTGAGGCCTTGATTCGAAAGGAAGTAAAATAGAATACTGTGGTGCGGTTACAGAAAGCTCCATCAGTTTGGCGAGCCGCAGAAGCAAGAGCGCTCCTTGGAAAGGAAGCGCAGGTACGGATGCTGGAGGCTGGCCCGCATGCGCGCTAGCCTGTTTTTGAAAGTAGGTAAGGCTACCAGCCAAACTACACACTAGGCTTCATTCACTATGAAGAAAGGTGAGAACTGCTAGCCCCCACCCTTGCAGCTATACCCACAAACCAGCCGGCCAGCCGCCCTTGTGTGTGCAGCGCTAACCACTGCTCTTCATTCCAGCCCAGGACAGGACTCACCTGTGCACCCTTTGGGCCGGCTTCGCCAACTGCACCCTGTGAAGAGTAAAATAGACTTTGTCAATAGGTTGAGTTTTTTCTTTTTAAAATCACTTTATTGGGGGCTCTTACAGCTCTTATCACAATCCACACATCCATCCATTGTGTCAAGCACATTGGTACATATGATGCCATCATCATTTTCAAAGCATTTTCTTTCTACTTGAGCCCTTGGTATCAGCTCATCACACCCCTCCCCCACCCTTCCTCCCTCATGAACCCTTGATAATTAATAAATTATTATTTTTTCATGCCTTACACTAACCAATGTATCCCTTCACCCATTTTTCTGTTGTCCATCCCCTTGGAAGAGGGTTATATGTGGATCATTATAATCGGTTACCCCTTTCTGCCCCCACCTTACCCTTACCCTCCTGGTATCACTACTCTCATTATTGGTCCTGAGGGGTTTATCTGTCCTGGATTCCCTGTTTCAAACTCTTATCTGTACCTGTGTACATGCTCTGGTCTAGCCAGACTTGTAAGGTAGAATTGTGGTCATGATAGTGGGGGGAGGAAGCATTAAAGAACTAGAAAAAAGTTGTATGTTACATTGTTGCTATACTGCACCCTGACTTGCTCCTCTCTTCCTTGTGACCCTTCTGTTAGGGACTGTTCAATTGTCTACAGATGGGCTTTGGGTCTCTATTCCATGCTACCCCTCATTCGCATTGATATGATTTTTTTTTGTTCTGGGTCTTTGATGCCTGCTACCTGATCCCATCGACACCTCATGATCACATGTGCTTCTTCCATGTGGGCTTTGTTGCTTCTAAGCTAGATGGCTGCTTGTTTCTCTTCAAGCCTTTAAGACCCCAGATGCTATATCTTTTGATAACTGGGCACCATCTGCTTTCTTTACCACATTTGCTTATGCACCCATTTTGTCTTCAGCAACCGTGTTGGGAAGGTAGGCATCACAGAATGTGGGGTTATTAGAATTATTCTGAGCTATTTTGAGCTTTGTAAGGCTAACGTATCATAAAATTCTAAATGAACCAACTCCTTGTGTTGGGCAGGTCACTAAGCACAAGTATGATCATGATGGATGAGCGCTTCCCTGCTCATCACCTAGGGAAGCCCAGACCATTGTTCAAGAAGCCCTGACAACTCCGGACATTCCCGGATCACTTCCACCTAATATCTAATGAATAGGAATATAAATTGGGAACTAAATAGGAAGAGTGATTACAACAGAAATTTTTACTTTTCTCAGCTTTCTCTTTGGTTTTGTTTGTTGGTATTTCCATTCCGATGAACTTTTATATTACCAAGTTTTTGCTTCTTAATCTTCACTCTCAGCAATGTAAAATATCTACTCTGATCACTCTGTATGATGACTTTGTGAAAATTCTCCACTGAGCCAAAAAACAGCCTGATTCCTCAACCTTGTAGACATTGCCCATCTAAACAAGGAATATTCTAGAGTGTTTGCTATCTTACCCTGTCACCTTTCATTCCAGGAAGTCCAGGGGGGCCAGGCAAACCAGGGAGGCCAGGGCTGCCAAAAGAACCCTGAAAAACAGACAGAGAGTCACTGCAACAGAATTTGCACAAGCCAGGGTACACCAGAGATGTACTGGATTAACCCTGCCCTTCCGGTCTGCCCCTCTCCCACCACTTCAGAAGAGGGCCCAGTCACCATGCCCCTGCACTCCTGTGATCCTTCTTCCATGATCTGCATGGCATCTCAACAGTGGGCCCTTTCAGTCAAGCCCCTGCAGCAGGACTGCTGCTTTTACTGTATAAACAAGCACTGCAGCAAACATCAAAGCCGGCATTCATTCGGGTTCTCTCCCATTCCAAGACCAACCAGAGGCCAAATGTGGCACCTCATGTTCCTCCTGGGTTTTAAAACCTATGCTCAAACCACATTGATTATAATACCCTCTGAGGGTATTCTACATACAATTTCCAGTTCCACGTTTACATTTTTGTGCATTGGCGTAATAATAGGACGCTATCAAATTAGCCCTTCGAAATTGTTTTCCTTGCTTATTTTTAAATTTTGTGAAATATTAATAGGTGGAGGACAAATAAACTTGGAAGTGTAGTAACATTACTTACCAGTTTACCTGGTATTCCTGGAGGTCCGGCTGGTCCTGTTTCTCCTCTACTGCCCTTTAAAAGCACAAAGCTCATCATCAGCTGGATGCTTTGTCAAAATATAAGTGCTTAATCACTAAGTAAATAAAGTGGCATCATTCTTAGGTTTCTGTTTAAATATAAAAGTTACCACAGTTTGTCCACATCTTTGCCAAAGGCAGAGAGCATCTTACAAATGCTACAACACCAATTCTTTCGTCTGTCAGTAAATGTTTTCATGCTATTCATTGTGATGCCAGATGGCTAGGTAGACATAAAATCTGATACCTGTGCACGATGTGGCAATTAGTCATGTTCAACATGAGTCACTTCTAACCTATGGCTATTCATGTACATATTTTAT